CAACAGGTGACTTATATGTCTCACTGTCATACACTTTTAAATTATCAAAACAATTAATCAGCAGGATCATACCAGAAGTATGAGCATAGAAACTTGGTCATTGGACAATACGACGTCCATGCTTAAATAAACTAGTTGGTTATCATTGACATTCGGTTAACTGCAACTTGATACATTGTGGAGATCCTACAGGATCATGTTGTACCCTATATGGGGCTTATTGGATACGACCAGTTCCGATTACGAGTTAATGCACGATAATGCACGCCCACACGTTGCACGATGCGTTGAGGACTACCTGCAAGATACCAAGGGGTATTCAAAAATTACAGTGGCATGCGCGTAGCCCGGTCTTAAACCCTATAGAACACATCTACGACATACTCAAAAGAAAAATTAAATCCTCTTCTAATCCGCCGCAAACGCTAGGCGAGCTTCGAAATGCAGTATTGACCGCAAGTTGCAATTAGAAACATCATCCAAAGCATGCCAGATCGGATGTAGGCAGTCATCAGGGCAAGGGGTGGAAACACAAGAAACTGACGTGTGCAAAAAAAAAAACAAAAAATAAATGACGACTTCTCAGTGTGCACTGTATGAAAATTAAGTAAAAGTTTCTATGAAAGTGACACTTATCATCAAAAAAATTTTTTTTGATGCCATAATTTCTTGAACACTTAATAAATTGTTAAAAACCATTATAAAAGTGAACATGGGTTAGATCTAAATTAAATTAAATGCAAAAAAAAAATGTATTCAAATCAAAGCAAAAGTAACGGGTGGCCAAGTTTCCGTGCCGATGAGTGTATATATTATTTTCTTATAATCCTTACTTGAGGCATCCCAAAGCAGTTCACGTTACCCTAAAAACTCTATGAGCATGGAAACTTGTTGATTGGACCACACTACATCCATGCTTACATAAACTATAAACCTCCTGCAACACACGTGTCAACTTTTGTTTGTAAACTAAATGTTTCGTCTTACTCTCTAGTCAGAGTGGGGAACACGGCAACATATATCTGAAACATTGTGTCATCACCTTTGTTTATATATATATAAACATAGATGAATGATTGGTCTCGCTTCACTCGACTAGATACCGCCGGCGGCGTACTTGTCTAATGCGGCAACAAATACTATGCCGAAATCGGCATACCCCAGCTTTCACCGAGCCAGTCAACTTGACAGTTGTGTATGGGGTGTACGTAGTGTTAATCGAAAGTAAAATGCCAGTTTATGTAGCGAAATAATACAACAATAAATAACAAGGACGCTGGAATCACTTAAAATAAATAAGTATAGTAAAATTTCAACATAAAATAACATGAACGAACGAAAACTGACATTTAGTCATTCAGGTGTTGCCGCGTATACAAGAATCAAGTCCCTATGGTTGAGATTTTAATTTATACTGTGAATTTATTGTTAGTGTATTTTATTATTGAACCTATGTTATTTAAACTTATGGATATACTGTACTTCCAGGGCCCAAAAGTAAAAACTTCAGTTTTGTTGGTTGTAATTTCGCATTTTTGTTGTTAAAAAGGTTTCTGTTAACCACATTATTAAAAAAATGTCACACTTATTTACTGGTAGTTTTTTAGAAAAAAATATGGAAAATTTTTACTTTTCTTATCAAGTGGTGATACTTCACACTAGGTTAGGTTAGTGTTGTGACCATAACGCGCGAGCCGAGCGAGCAAAGCGAGCGTGCCGCGGCAGCGGCCGGCGAAGCGCCAGAAAAAAAAAACTGTTAAAAAGACCTTTTCTACAAAAAAAAAACAAGTATCACCTTTTGGGCCCTGGAAGTACAGTTTTACCAAACTTATTATTAAACTTGCAATTAAACTCAACCTAGTTTTATATTATTCAACGTTTGTCTTTGTAATCTACCTTTTATTCCTATGATATTCTGTTATTATTTTTAATAACATTGCTCGTAAACTGACTCTTATTATTTACACAGTTTTTAGTTTCACAATTCAGAATATTAACTACCATACTTGTTGTGTATTTTTTTTAATTTCAGAGCTTTAGTCAGATTACTGTATTCTGACGAAGCAGACCTGTAGCTTTACCATGAGTTAATAGCGACTAAACTCGCTAGCGTCGGTGATTAAAAGTTCTATGAAAAAAGTACAGCGCCTCTAGCGGAAACTCACAGAACCGAAATCGGTAGTATGAGTCAACAAATTAAACCCTATCGAAATCTATTCGATAGGTGAGTAACGTTTTGAAGGAGTTTCCTTACAATTCGGTACCATGAGTCACAAATTTGACAGATGTTATCGAGAAATACCTTTACGTCTGTAGTTAAGTAATTCACTGCCTAATTGAGGCGTGAAAGGGTGTTTGATTGAACCAAGGTGTTTGAGAATTATTAAGTTTGGAGTAGTTTTGGTAAAAATAATGTCGGCAAGAAGTTATTTCGCATGGAATATGATAACGGCAGCTACTTATCAAGATGAACGATACGATCAAGCAAATTTTCAAGCTAACATTAGAAAGAGAATTGAAAATCCCCTGAAACACATAAGCGAAAATAACTTTATAAAAGAATATAGGCTTAATAAGGAAGCTTTTGAGGATTTGTGTGACTTGTAAGTATATTACACGGATTTGAGATCAACACAGAGAGTCTCGCTGGAATCCAAGGTTAGTCTAATTGGAAATTATACTCGTAAACTTGTAAGACTGTATTGCCCTATGCCGATATTTTAACTGTTTACATAATTATGCAGGTTTTGTGCGCATTACTATTTTATGCACACGGCAGTTACCAGCGCGTCACCATACACATACCTTTTCATAAAATCCACCATTAACTGGAATTGGGACGCACTGGTTCTCATTTTATTAAATAAAAAGAAATCAAACAGCCTCACCGAAACAACAAGGAAACTAAATTTATGTCATCGGCATTATATACCCAATACAATTTAAAAGTTGTCCTAGAGCTAAACTTTACGCTTTGCTCTACGACGTTTTAAATAAGTTGTATTATCTTATTTTCGGGAATAACTATCGTACTCTGTCATATATGAAAAGTTAGAAAGAAACAGCTACATTGGGCGTGAAGTTAGACACGTGTGAAATATGATAATACGGACTATCGAGCTCTCGCTAGCGAATTTATCACATGTTATTGTAACTCGTGGTACAAGATTATGTGAAATCTATTCGATGCGTGTGTATACGCTAACGACCGTGATAACTTAGTGTCAATTTTCGATGTCAACTCATGGTAAAACTACTGAAAAGGCTGCGAAACATCAATAAATAAATAAAGTTTCGTGCATTAACCCGTTAAAAACTAGTTTTATTTTATATTTATAAACACAAATTAACTTAACTAACGTATTAAGAAACATTTATTTATACTTATAGTTTATTCTATTTTTTATATTGCTGCTGTTCAGGCTGCAGAGTCGGCCTTTAAACAGTCTTCAAAAAAGGATATTCTCAGTTTGATCTGTATGTATGCATGTTTAACCATGATAATCTCAAAGCTATGGGGTTTTCGCGCATATTAATGCGTAAATACGCATTTTCTGAGAAGGTTTTAGTATATAATTTACTAGCAATGTCTCACTGTTTTTCCCGTGTGGATCTAAGCTTGTACAATTTCCAACTAGTAGCGTATTCTGTGTAATACTAAAAATAGGAAAATGTAATAATTTTAAATAAAAATAAAACCGATTTAAAAAAAAATATTTACTGCATGATATACTTGAAGTCTATACCAAGGTATGTGTTTAGCAGGGAGATCATGATAATAATAACGATCGACTTCACGGTAAGTCTTATTTTACATTTTCAGTATTTTTGAAATCGGTTGTATTTTTATTAAAAAATATTCCTGTGCCGTTATTGAACCTGTGAGCGCATTTATTTGCGCAATTTTAAGTCAACCCCGCCGGCAATACTTATCGAGGCATGAAACGCGAGTAATAGGCTGTTGCCGCCAGTTAATTTATGAACATACCTATAAACATGGCAACATTTCTAAAGCGACGTTCTGATGAATATATTGGCCGAAAGTAAAAAGTATTGTCACCAACCGATTTTAAAAAGTTTTTGAAGGTAGCTCCGTAATGTCAAAATACTTGGCAACAAAGCTGCAAAGGTCAGTTGAACTTTATAACAGTTACTATCTACAAGTTTGTTTTTTCGTCGCAATTGTGTCGTCGTATGCAGCTCGTGTGCATTGATCATTACCCTCAGCTTCCTTACCGATTTACAATAATATCTCGTTTATAGTGACCAACTTATGACACTTGAATCACTGTTATAATCTACAAGTTAATATTACATGTAAAAAAAAAATTAAAGCCTACTTAAGCATTTTTTAAAGAAGAAACCTACGCCTAATCGTGTAAGTACAGTAAAATATTGATATATTCGCATTTAATTAAGTGCATCCTTTTCAAGTATTTCATGAGCTACATTTATAATCTGGTACATATTAATTATAACCTACAATATTTTCCCTATTACTTGGGTAGCAGTTGAGCAGCTGGCTACACGATTTATGACATTTAATAGCATCATTGCAAATTGACATACACACACTACAATAATGAGTTGCCCCATTTATAGAGCTATTGTTTTTTGACAGCGCGGTATCTAGTCTAGTGAAGCGAGACCAATTATTTACCTATGTTTAAATACATATTTTAAATTGTAAACAAAGGTGATACAACATTGAGAATACACTGTTTATAAACAAATGTGTCCTAATGAATACGCAGCTTTATTGACATCATCAGAATTAAAAGAAACTAGCTAAGCAGTCATTGAAAACCTTTACCCGTGAAATCAAGATACCAATATAAAGCACCCATGCAAAAGCACTATGCATCCGCCGAAAGAAAGTGCTGTACCCAACTTCAGTGTATTATGGCCCTTGGATACGCCTCGGGCCTCAAACTACAACCTCGTCGGTAATCGGTCACTTTTTCCTCTCGGTGAACAATGTACTATTTTGTTGGTTACAGATTCACAAATGGTCGCACACATATTTTGGGTTGCCATCTTGGGTGGTATGTTTACAAGACTGGCACGTGGTGTTGCCGCGCCGCCACCACCGCATTCACCACGTGGCGCCGCACGAGACTTACTTTTGTATCACCACGGGTTGGCTCAACTGGCCACTGGAAAAACTCCACTTCTGGTCAACGCTGGAAACGATTATCGAAGTGTTGACTGGATGCAAGCCTCGGGCTGACGATATGAAATGGGCCCAGAAATAATATTAAAACATAGGATGTGCTCCAGGTATTGCAACTTATTGTACAAATATTACAATTACGTATGTGTATCACAATAAAGTAACGCATATGGCCGCAAACTAGTCGTCAGCGGCCGGCGATGGGGGCGGCTGGCAGCGATAGCAGGTGCGCGCTTTGGTCTTAAAGTGTGTTATATCTTAGGTTCCTTTTACATCGTCGTCGTCGAAATGCCACCAGATAGTATGAATTTATAACATCAATTTTGAGGTGGATATTAGATTAACATATTGGTTAGGTACCTACTTGATAAAATAAAAAACCAAAATAAATATTTAAGGTAAATTCATACATTCAAGTTTATAAAAAAAATATGATTCAAAGTACCTACCTTTATAAATGTAAAGACGGTTATAAGTAGGTAGAAAAAACCTAATATTACTCGCGGCCAAAGTAAAAATATTACAAAAAGACTTAAAATACTATCGACACCGATGGATATCGCGCGTCACAAACTCCTATTTATACTTTTTTAAGTATGCAAGATGTTGCAAGTATACAAAAACATTGCCACATGGAGGAAAAGTACCTTTAACACTGTATTAATAGAAAATATTGTGAACAAAGATTTCTTTTTTCTTAGTTTTAAAGATCATACGAATTTAATTCAAATATTTTTAAAAATTCGCCTGCCTGAACTGATATATCAGATAAATTTAAGATTTTTTTTTTGTGCAAAATGTATAAAATACTCAGTAATACTGCCGTTGCCGCGCCCCGCTAGCCGCTTGCTGTCGCAGGTGAGGAAGAACGAGCGTAATTTCAAAATTGCTAGTCGCTAGTAATTTAGCTTGATATTGGTTGTCTTTAGTCTTAAAAATCCTCTTGGTTTTACAAAATGAGTGACAATTTTCGTTGTAAATTTAAACTAGCCAAAAATACGCTGGTTTGTCCTCACCCTAATTAAAAATTTAGACAATACAATTACAGATCAATCCTATAATTAAACAAATACGACCTCTGATACATTGCTACAACTTAATATGTTCTTCGTCATTTTTACTAAGTATATCTTTAGCACATACATTTATTACTTTCTATTATGTATGAGAGTAATTTTGTTAGTTTTTATTCGTACCTAATTTGTAGTCATTAAGCTGAATTTAAATTCTTTTTTAACGAACTAGAAATGGTTAAAGGGTTTCTAATTATACTAAGCAACGACTGTCATATTGAAACCAATGATATTTACAAATACATATTATAAGATTTTGTAGGATATGATGCTAATGCCATTAAATGCCTTTTTTGATTATTCATAATGTCTTCGTTGATAGGTTTTATAGCTTGAATCCATTTGACGATCGACAAAGTATGTCGTGAGTGCTAAACTTACTTTTATATTGAGACATCTCAATTTATTTATATACGGGCGCATTTTTATAAGTTTGTACGTTGTTAAATATTAAGAATTTATTTTATTTAATATAATGGACAAATAAAATCTACTTTTCTATACCAGAATCTGGTTAACTCTTAAGTTTATTAAAAACGTAAAATATGTATAATTACTATGACTAAAGTCATAAATATACCAATGGGTATATTATTAAAAAAATGGGGGGACAGGTATTCCTTTGACTATCAAAGTCATATTCATATTTACAAAGGGAACTAAAAACGTGAACACAAAATTAATATTTTAAAATAATATTATTAAAAACACAGTACTAAAAATGAGATTTAAGTAAAAGCTTAATATTGTAATCTTTACAGCCTTTGCCTCACATATTGTAAAACTCGTCATAATGTAATTATTATTACTTAGGAACGGGTAACACAAACATTCTAGGTACACATAACACAAACTATTAAAATTATTTTACAAATGAATATTATAATTTGGCATTAAACACAATCTTACGAAAATATCTATCAATTTTCAAATATTTATTCAAGAGGACAGTCATCAGTCAGTGGAACATTTATGCTACGAAGTGGAAAAGTAAAGCTTGTTTTACAATGTCATTATTTTAGTAACTTTTATATCTTTATTGCATACTATTATGAATAAGCTACTCATTAAATTTATAACAAATAAATTTGACAACTAAAGTTCTTCTGCCACACAATCCTTAGCTAAGATCAATTTTAATACTTATTAAAAAAATAAGGTTGTCAATAAATCAACGAATATGGCAAATTGAACATTAAAATCTGGTAAAAATAATATATCAACCACCACCAACATTATCTATTTGTTATATTAAGTAACGTTCTATTCACCATATCACGTGTCGCAGATTTAATCAAAATGGCTGGTGTTGTTGCTGCATTTTGAACGAATCAGTTTCTTACACGCCCTACATTTCACCATATTCTTTGTATGTAATGGTATATAGCTTTGTCTTGCATCTGTCATACTTACGTGTGCACATTTAAGAACATTTTTTTTCTTTGCCTAATAAATAAAGTGCGTTTTCGTAGAAGTTTTGGAACTATCCAAGTTTGGTTCGACCACCTTTAAGGATTGAACTTTATTATCTGTCAGTAGGCGAGTCCCAATTTGTAATGGACCTTCGGAGATATTATCAACCATTTCTAAGGATTCCTTATTGCATACAAAATTAATCATTTCAATTTGGAAAACCAATTCAACGTTAGGGATGATGATGTTTAACGTCGAGTCAAAATTGTCATGCAATGTAAAGATATCAGATGAAATAATCGATGTTGAATTTAGATTATCGTAAATTTTAATGATTTCGTTGAACTTGTCAACGCCATAGCTTAGAGTTATTACGAAAGGATTTTCATCATTGTGCAATTTTCCGAATCAGGTAGAGGCGTGTGAATTTAGAATCACGTCGAACTCTACTAAGTCAACAAAAACAAGCAAGAGTTTCGAGATTTCGGTTTTCGATAGAATTTGATTTGTTTTCATTGTGCGTACATTTAAATCTTTGAAAATAATATTATTTGAATTGTCTATTACAGAATCTTAAATATAAAAAGATTTTGGGGAAGACATGCATTTAGTCAATATCTCGTAAGCTTCTAAAACAATAGTAACATCTCGACCGTAACTCCCTTGTCCATCCAGAGTTATTGAAGCTGCACCACTGATTCCATTAGCAACACCTTTGCCATGCCCGCTTTCCGTAAACGACCACCTTGAATATTCAAGTTTCAATTTGTTGGCGAACAAATTCAACAAAAGAATATTTTTTCTTTTGTCGATACTGAGAGCTGGAACCATCTGAGAAGAGTGGCTGACGTTCACGCCAGGTTTGTTTTCTCTGATCATTTTTATTACGGGGATGAGGTGATTCCAGATCGTTGCGGTTTCGTGGCAATTATTATCAAAATATAACAAGTAACCGAGGATTGTCCTTCATCAACAAAGTACCTGTAAATAAACTTTATAACAGTACAAAAATCCACGCTACTTCTTGTACTATTATTCTGTGGATAAACTAAGTACCGAATTTTGACGCAACGAATATGAAAGCAGTTAATTTTATTTCTTTGTAATCGGCACCGAGACCCTAAAAGTTTTAGATAAATATATATGCTTTAGTCTCTTGAAATATTTGCACTTCATAAATTACTTCATGATTTGAATTATTTCACATTAATATTTTTTCAAATAAATAAATCAATAGCACAATACAATGCAACTTTAGCGTTCCACTGACTAAAAATTATTCTTTTGACTAACATTCTCACTATCGTTGTTCAACGGAGCGTAACGAAATCCTGGTAGGAAAATATTTTATCTTCGTAGCGGACAACAATCGACTCATGTAGTAAAGCTGTATTTAATGAAAATATAAGGTGCACTATTAATTGCACATAAATAAAGAAAATAGAAAGTCATTATTTACCGTAAAATATCCGTTTATCACTGAAAATCTTCATAGCACTCACTTTTACAAACGACTCTCTGACACAATAGCAAGAGACTCAATTCAGGATGGCAGTGTAAGTACGATAGAATTCGGTAGTGTTACCAGCTACTAAAAATGCGTCCCAATTGGTAGGGTAAGTTTTGTGCGTGGATTGCAAACAGATGTTAGTCAATGGGAATTAACACGTATGTCAAAATTTTAGACCGTGGCTTAATAATAATTTAAAAATAGTTGAATTACATTTATAATATTTCTATGGAAAATTATTGTTAACACTTAATTGTTGATAAAATAGAAAATATTACCATTTCTTTGTCGGCTAAGTAGTTATGGGAGCATAAAATTGTAAACTGGACATGGCAAAAAAAACCAAAACATTGAAAATGAATTTGCGATAATTAAAGAATTACTGATCTAGCAGTATGAGCAAAAAAAATTTAAACATTGATCTATTATTATTAAGAATTCTAATAAAGCATTCTTTTTTTAAAAAAGAATTTATTAAAAGTATTTAAAAAATAACCCGGAAGCTGATCGACACTATTTAAAAATCTATGTACATACTTAAAAAACATGTAATACACATTTCAATTGAGTGGAAAACTAGGAGAATTTCTCGGATTTCTCGTTACCACCTTGTTACCACATTGAAAACTATCATTAACTCATGTTGATTTTGGGATTTATTAATTTTATTGCTCACAAACCAGAATAAATGCGGTAATAGTGAAATACGCCAATATTGCTTTCAAGGGTTTTTGCTATTTAAGGAATCTATAAAGAAATCTTTGAAACAAAAAAATGTCTTAAAATTATGGTAAAATTATTCATTCACGTTCAAGTTCCTAAAGCAAACACTATCTTTTCTGAAATGCTTATAATGGTTTTTAGGAGGTTAACGAAGACTATCATAGTTTCGTCAAAAATGAAAGTGGGCAATGTTGGTGTGTTCCACGGTATTTATTGTGAGCTGTAGAACACACTTAAAAGGTGGAATATACTATAATTATTAATTAATACTTATCTATAATCATGTAGCAACACGGCTGAAAGATAATTAATTTCGGAATTGACTAAAATATGCAAAGATAATTATAAATTATTAAATATGAACATTTCATGACATAACACTTTCAACGACAGATTACAACAAATGATACCCCATTTAATACATCTTTTTTTATATTTTTATGAAAGCTTTTGTAGTCGGGCAGTTTTTATAATTGGTCAGAAGTTATGGAACATATGTATATATATATATTTTACTAGTGGCCCGCCCGCGCTTCGCTTGGGTGTAGAGCTGTAGTGTAGACTATAATTTTTGTTCTCAGGCTTGTATTATACACAATGACATTCTTATAATACCTAATTACAATAGGCACGCGCCACCCGGTGCCCCGCCCGGTAGCGTCGGAACCGCTATGTCCCTGCATTTTAAATCTGTAATATCTTCAAAAATATTCATTTAAATTACATGCGTTAAATAGCCAAATTGGTCTATATTAAATGCACAATGTATTTAAGGTACTGAATTGGATAAGGAAGAATGTTATATTGCTGAAAATCGCTTCGTAAATAATCTATTATTTCTCGTAAAAAGTATAGGATATAAAATGGTTATTGTGGGTTATCCCTAAGAGATAGACAGATACCATGGCGGACTTTTTTGTAGACATTTTTAAGGTGTACAATACTGTAGTACAATATTTTGATCGATCTCGTAGGGTTCAGCCAGCGTTTGCAATGTAAGCGGAAAAACTGTGTTTATTTACGACCTTACATTAAAAACCTCTAAAATTATCAGTGTTTCCAACCGTTACACAAAAATAATCCTTATAGCATGATTCAGTATTCACGTGCGACGGCGCGATGGCTTATTTCATGTATAAGTTTGGTGTTTATATACCGATTTCTATGATTCTTTTTTTATTGAATAGGTAATAATGTTAACTTTTTTAATTAGGGATGAGTGAGAGTATTATAAACGTAAGAGTAAACAAATATAATCAGAATGCTCCGAACTGCTAAGCTATCAGGAGTTACACGTGTTATTGTGAGTCAACCGTAAAAGATAGACATATGCTGTTGCAGGATATTTTTTAGACAATTTTATGTTAAATATTTCCGTCATACACGATTTCTATGTAACTTTAACCATTAAGGCTGCACACGCGACGGAAGCTTAAAAAAAGGAGTAACTTCTCCCGTTTTCCCAGCATTTCCCTTCACTACTCTGCTCCTATTGATTGTAGCGTGATGAAAAGTATACTATAACCTGCCCAGGAGTATGAAGAATAATTGTACCAAGTTTCGTTAAAATCCGTAGAGTAGTTTTTGTTTCTATAAGGAACATACACACAGACAGACAGACAGACAGACAAAAATTTTACTGATTGCATTTTTGGCATCAGTATCGATCACTAATCACCCCCTGATAGTTATTTTGAAAATATATTTCATGTACAGAATTGACCTCTCTACAGATTTATTATAAGTATAGATTTTATATATTTTTTATTTTAGTTGAATATCTATTCTGTTTTACTCATACTCAATCCATTTTTATTTAGTATCGATCATTTTTTTAAATATCTTAGATTAAAGTTAGGAATGAGATTATTTTACTTATAGTCCGGTCAATTTAGACAATTCAAATAACAAAAACCCCGACAGAGCCAAATATTGGTGGAGACCTTTGTTTTACCCTTATGAATAAAAATTTAAAAGTCCCCATCAATCCCATGCGAGCTTCAAAAGTTATGCGGGGCCAAATGTCAAAATTTTAGGTTTTATGACTTCTTCTCAAAAACGGTAAGTTTAATCAAAAAATACCTCAGACTAAAATTGTAGATCTCAAAATTCTCTACAAAAATGGTTCTTATGATATTTTCTCTAAGTATCACCGTTCCTGAGATATCGTGATTGTGAGAGTCACGTACTACGTAATATCCTACGTAATATTCTAATTCAGGTTCTTAAGCAAGCAAAAATACTTATTTGTGTCTCTTTTATGAATAAACTATATACTATATTATGAATATACCATATTGAGAAAATATATAGTTAAAGTCAGTCCCTTATGTAGTGACGACTGCCAGTTTACGTTAGATGAATTAAAGAATGTTTGTCAAAATGTAGCTTTAGATAATAGAATTATAAAAGTACGGTTGAAGTTAAAGTCCATACTTTAACTTTGACTTAAAATGTCTTGATAATTGTCTATGAAACAAATAAATGTTAATTTTCCAGACTTCTCTGTAATAATATTATTATACTAATTGTAGTAGAATTATTATTACAGAGATAAATGTTAATTTTCCAGGCTTCTCTAACATTTATTTGTTTCATAGACAATTATCAAGACATTTTAAGTCAAGTCTGGTCTGATAATAAAAACTTGGATGAAAAAGAAAAACGCTGATCAACTTTGAAAGAACTTTGAAAATCAGAACGGCAATTAAATTCAATAACAAAAATCAATATTAATAATCTTCCTTCAGTTAAATTCTTATTGTCTCTAAAAATTACATTAAAACGGTTAGTTGAATACGCCTACCGGGGAAACCACGTTAAAAAAAACGCGCCGAGTACACTACCTCATAGGTGGTGAGGAAATGTGTGCATATTATGTAGTACGTGACTCTCACAATCACGATATCTCAGGAACGGTGATACTTAGAGAAAATATCATAAGAACCATTTTTGTAGAGAATTTTGAGATCTACAATTTTAGTCTGAGGTATTTTTTGTTTAAACTTACCGTTTTTAAGAAAAAGTCATAAACCTAAAATTTTGAAATTTGGCCCCTCATAACTTTTGAAGCTCGCATGGGATTGATGGGGACTTTTAAATTTTTATTCATAAGGGTAAAACAAAGGTCTCCACCAATATTTGGCTCTGTCGGGGTTTTTGTTATTTGATCCCTATTTTTATGTCTAAATTGACCGGGCTATTATAAAACTACAAACAATAAGCATTCTGTTAAAAAAATATCGAAGAAAAATCGACCCAAAAAATGTTATACCTTTTCTAAGTTCATCATTGAATCATAAAAAATCAAAACTCGATAACTACGATAAATCGTAGAACATACATGGCGGTTAAATTGATTGGTATGGTTACTCCGCTATCAGCTCGTACTGGCTTGATACCCTAGAAGAAACACCTGTAAGTATATTTAAATGAACGGTAAAATAAAAATGAATTTGTTGTAGGTGAAAAACATGAAGTATTGTGGACACATGTTGAAAAATTTCATATTAAAGATAGGTGTGAATGTTACATAACAAATACCTTCGGCAAAAATGAAAGGGATTGCTAGTAAGCGAAAACTTGATGTTTACTAAAACAATAATGCAAACAATTACCTATTATTAGTCATGATTTTATGACCTCTTGAGTAGTTTTTGACTACCGGGATATTTTTTCACGGTGTCATAATAAAAAAGGCTAGTATGACATAGATCTATCGATTCTTACTAATTACATTGTTGGCGGAGCTGGGTGTGTTTTGCCCATTATCCTTTACTTACCTAGTGACTTGAAGTTTAACTCGGAAATATTTGTCGCTCTTAATCCGGACGTCCGGAAAAATTTTACGAGTAACCTACCACTTGTATGAAAATATCGAGCTTTATTTTATCTACCGTATTGCTTGTATTGAATTATGGATAGTCACTTCAAGGCTTTGTTAAAATAATATAATAACTATATATATTAATCAATATGTTTAAAAGTATAGTATAGATTAGACTGTCGAGCACAAATATACTTTATATAAAATTAGAGTTTAGCCATAGCCGTTGAAGACAATTTTAACACTAATATGCTTACCTAAAAAAGCTATATTTATATGCCGCATGACGCAGCCTATAATTTTATGATAACCTCTCCGTCCAAATAATACCCAAGTGCATTTATTATCATAAAATATTTATTTACTACTGCATTGTGCACTGATTATAGTATAAACAAAAAGTTGTGGCAGACGATGCAATTAAACGTGCAAATGAGAATTCGATCGACTTCAAAATTAATCTCGGTTTTAGGTGAAAAAATGTACAATATTTTATTTTTCCACAATATATAAATGAAAATATTACTATTTACACGACTTCTTTATGAATTAAAGAATTTCATTTTATTGTAATTTATAAGATGTTCATAATATTATCTGTTTCACCATAAGAGAAAAACTACAGTTAAACATTATTTTACGTAAAAAGGCACAAATAGCCAGATGTGACTTATAATTCTAAGATTTTGTTTAAAAATATGTAATATACCTCTACCAATCAAAGGGCACATTTTTACAATACTTGTGCTTTTTCATTATACCATTCATTCTTCAATCATTCTTTCACTTGGAAAAATAAAAAAATGCAAATACAAAAACTTTAATATAAAAAAATAAAAATGTGTATATTTTTGACTTTTTAATTTCTCATTCATCTGATGTGCTCTTTTTCGGTACAAACCTATAAAAACTAGGACAGTTGTGCCCTTTGAGCTTATTGTATCTCACTTATCTAGTTACTAAAAATTCAACCGACTTAAAAAAGGAGGAGCTTTATAATTATATACACACACAAATAATAAAAACGGAGCCCTATTGCTGGCATTCTGACGTTTGTCTATCTGTCCGTATGCCACGGGTCTGTAGAACGTAAACGGAATGAGTTACAGAAATGAAGTTTTGAATTTTTATGTAGAATGCTTGCACAACTTATTTTTCATTGGGGTTCCCATATGTGTGATACATCATTTCTCGTTGAGTGGGATGGGGTCCGAAATTATAACGAAAATTCACACTTGACAATTCTTTATTCACTACACAGTTCACACAGGAAACCCTCAATATTAGTACATTATAAGAGGCCTTATATTATGATCGCGCACGAACACTTTACTTGCACTTTGATCGCCTTGGTAATCGTTTCTAAATCGCTGTTGAAACTGAACTGTCCCTACCAGGAGCCAAGCGCCCTTAGAAAATGGTAGCCGTGAAAGTTTTCATTTATAGACCATTTTTAGTCTACCTCAAAATAGAAACTAGTTAAGAATTTGAAACCTGTTTTTAAACAACAAATAGATACTGAAAACGCCGATTCATAAAGTACATTGTAAGTTGTTATGAAAACAAACAAATGATTTTTCCTTACCCGGTAAACTTGCGAACTGCGCTCTAGAAATCGCTAAAGCTCATAAAAGAAATATTTCATAAAAAAAACAAATTTTCTCAAAAATTGTTATACTCTGTTAATCACTGATAGGTGGATCCGAAACCAAAACTTTAATTCCTTAATATTAAATGTCCTCATTAACATCTTCTTGATATTCAACCTCTCCTTCTACATTTTCAATATCTCTCCCTTCATAATCAACCTAATTGCTTTCTCTTAAATGGTCAACTTTGCAAAGATTTTCCTAATATTATACGATCATCTGCATATATGTAGGGTCAGTTCGCCTGTTCGCGTCCATTTAGTGCAGTTGGAAAGTTTGACGGCGATAGTAAAAATATCCCAGCACTAATTTCTATGAAAAATTTATGTAATGTGTTCATTATATAGTCTATTTTAAGATTAACTTTCAGTTTTGTTCGAAACATCTATTGTTTTTTATTTAAATAGATAAACTTCGGAATAAGGCGTTTTACCCACTTTGCGTCCACAAAATCCAAATTGCGTCCACCTGTGGACCATTTAGCGTCCACCACCTTAGAAAAGGAATATAGGGGTGATATTTTTAAGAATTTGTAAAGAAAGATTGTACCTATTTTAACAATTTCTTTATTTTAGAATATAAATATTAAAACCAACATTATTACCATTAAAATTATCACTTTAAAAAATAAAAAATATTCTTCTCAATATTGATTGAATTTAAAATTAGATAAGTAGTAGGTAAATAATGATTGCATCTTTAAGAATAAACAGTAATTAGTTTTGTTAATTTTACCCTAAAATCACAAGGTATGTTTTTCTCATCGTCGTCTTCTACATCTGAAATTAGTATATCGTCACATTTAGAAAAAAATCTTTCTTAAATTCCTGATTTACCATTTCCTGTATGACTTCTTGAAGAGCATGCACCTTCTTCTTTCGTTTTGGAGCAGTTTTACGAACCGTTTGAGAGTGTTCACACTATTTTTTATCTAAACATCCCGCGTGTACGCACTCCCTTGATGAATAACCGAGACTAATTATTTTTTTAAACGGGATTGTTTGGCGCACCTACCTTTTGACCATTTGTTCGTGTCTCTTATATATTAAGGTATTAGCGGTAATTACTTTTCGTTTGATTGGTGTGTTAGTTTACTTATTATTGAGGATTTTTTAAGGTAGATCCGTAAAATGGACGCGAATTGGGCGATGGACGCGAACAGGCGAACTGACCCTACCTTCAAAGAAAACTATTTATCAAATAGTGTAATGCAAAACTGTTGGTAATATAATTACTACTACAAAGTAATATTTTAACAACAATTTTGTTTTTATAAAATAATTGCTACAAA